CTGTGTGCTCTACTTCAACGTTCCCTCCTCAATGGCAAGCGGTCCAGGTCCAGAGTAGGCTGTACTGGTTTTACCGTAATCTACAGTTACCATACCATGTGCATTTGCTTATTACTGTATTGAAGGGGGAAAAAAATCCATGCTGTACACCTTTCTTCCTCAACTGCCTATCAGATTCGGCAACGGGCGCCACACTCAGACATGCAAGGGACAATTGGGGAAAAAATTAAAATAAGCAGTGCAGCATTACTTTGGATATCTCATAAAGGAGCACGTTGGAGAACACCATCTCTCCGTATGATATGTGTCCCGTTTACAACTTTAATCCCAAACAAAAGTTGGTTATAAAATGCGCTATGGAAATAATTTTCTGCTTCTACAGCGTGATGTTAGTACTTTTACTTGAGTAAAGGATGTGAATACTTGATTTTATTTTATTTGATTTGATTTATTCTTTCAACTTCTCGTACTACTGGTGCTAACATGCAAACTAACATGCTTTAGTTATATAACATGTTGTATTTATATGCTGTTATATAACATGTATTTATATGCTGTTATTATTCATCTTTATAACTGTTTATTCTTTAGGGTTAAGGTAGTGCTGCGATCCAGTTCAATCAACTGGCACAGTCACTTTATATAAAAAAAACAACCTTCTTTCATTCTTCCGTGGATCATTGTAGCTGATAATAATAGCAATTGTTTAATACCACGAAACCTTGAAATTTTCTGAGAGCGTTATTATACTGTGAAAATCTCATACCGTTGCAACTCGAGTCCAGAGGTAGCAAAGCAGCCCCACATCATGATGCTTCCTCCGCCATACTTGCTTCCATCTGACTCCAGCTGATGTTTAGTGACATCAGAAGCCTGGTGTTACCATTTCTTTTTCCACCATCCACTTTATTAGGTACACCTGCACAATTGTATGAACTTCAACACTTCTGTCTTAACATCTGTTAACTCTAAATGTTTCAGTTTTTGGTGAAAATGTCAAATGTATAAATTAAATGATATATGTATTATTGAGGTCCTAGAAAGAGGGGGTGTTATACTGGACTACATTATATTCAGAGTTGTCACTATATTTTTTATCCTTCCCAGCTATATAGATGAGGTGGTCAGAATATTAACACCACCTCTGAATTTATTTGTAGTTCAGTATAACATCCGTTATTGGGTATTGCGCCCGTTAGGAGTCATTATACTCAGACGTTGATAAGTGAGGGCTCAGATCATGTTCTGTAATGGATGCACATGTGGTGCAAGGAAATTTTATACATTTGCCTCTATGGTAAATGATTACTTTTTGTTTTTTTTTTGTTTTTTTTTACAATTTTCCATGTGCTTTCTGTAATGCTTTTGTTTTATCTAACTTTTTGTGGAGTTTTGATATGCTCTGATTTCTGTGTGCTAATAGGTTTGTTTTCACTGTCTGACTAAAATTCAACATCCAATGGCTCACCATCATGCCACAACATCATGGAGCAGTGGTCTCTGTGACTGCTGCGAGAGTGCGAGTACCTGTAAGAACCAGTACAACTTTATTTTTTACGAATGAAGGACTTTTTTTCCTCGATTGTAGGGTTTTTGTTGGTAATACTGATTTGATTTATTCTTTCACAGTGTGAACACAAACTGAACACTTGAAACTTGTCCTTTTCCGGGTTGCAAGCGAGAGCAGACGTCTTTACTGCTCCTCTTGTCTGTTCTATATTTCAAGTCTTTGAGCATACTTTACAACTACTAAAATGCCTCAAAGAGGGAAAAGAGCTAATAAATCAGAAGCGACGAAGGATATAGAGGCAGAAGAAATGTGTCACAGGGCGGCGCAAGTAAAGGACATCGTGGATCATGAGAAACAGATGTTCATTCCGATGCTGAACAAACAGGAAAGTTTCAAAGGCTTTGTGCAACTAATTATGGAAACAAAGAACAAGAGATTAGACGACATGACCAAAGAAATACAGGAGATAAAAACGAGTTTGCAGTTTACCCAGTGAGAGGGGGATGTGATTAAGGCTGCCATGGGTGAACAGAAAATGCAAACCAAGGAAGCGAAAGAGGATGTCTACAGAACGTGTGAGAGTTTAATGTCTATAACGGACAGAATGGAGCATCTGGAAGCACAGTCCAGGCGAAAAAACTTGATCTTTGAGGGAATCAAGGAGACAACTGGAGAAAGCTGGACGGAAGCAGAAGGTAAAGTGAAGGAGATTCTGAAAAATAATCTGCAAATTCATCAAGAAATTGAGATGGAGCGGGCTCACAGAGTCGGGAAACCTTCAGATCGTGGTCCAAGGGCGGTGTTGGTGAAGTTGATGAAAGAGAAAAATAAGGTACGCATATTGCAACAGGCAAAGAAATAGAAGCTTAAAGGATCTAATATTTATACCACTGTGTGACATGTTAACACCTGCTGTACTAACAGCCTGTGGCGTCCCCCTGATTGCTCCTCCTGCAGCCCTGTCACTAAGGGCTGCCATGCGAAACAGATACAATATTCAGGTAGTACGCATGTACAGTAAAACTGACGTTAATGAAAGTGACGCAATTTACTGACCATACTTTTTACTTGGGTCCTCTGCAGGGTTCTCTCTGCAACGACATCATTGTGTCCTGTTTCTGCTCCTGGTGCCTCTGGTGTCAGATGCATCGGGAGTTAAAACATCGCAAAAAACAGCCCACTGTGATCAACGCACAACCTGGACACCATCACCAACGTGCTGCCTATGGAGGCCAACCAAATGTGGTCGTGATTTCCCACTGAGATATGTGGCTTCTCATCAGCCTGGTACTGTATGTCATGAGAAGAAAATCTGATTTGTCTTTGCCTTGTCACCCAGGCATTTGTTTGTTTCACTAAAGACAAAATCCAGTATGAAGATGGTCATCAGTGAAAACCAAAAGATGTCATTATTGTAATAATCATTAAAATTACAATAATACTGACTAGTTTCACCTTTGACCTTTGGCTACAGTTCCAAATACAGTCTTCTTTTTTGACTATCACATGAATAGATATTCATTTGACTTTTCTGACATTAAGTTCTGTCTTTTATATACATCCAGCCAATCACAAAGATCAATTCAGAATTAACTGTGAATCTGACTTGGTGTGCATGTTTCAGAGAAACTAGTCAGGATCAAATACACTGCAAGCCCTTGATGGCTAAAAGTTTCTTCTGCTTCTTACTTTCTTTAAATTAAATTTAAATTCTTTTTTTTTAACCTATGAGCACAATAGTACATGTGCATAAGGTGGGGTGAAGTAAATGCATATAAATGTGACATTGTATGTAAACACTGGCATTAAAAATCATGACATAAAAAAAATAAAAAAAACCTTTGTAAATTGGCCAAATATGACAATGTGACTGACCAGTATGCTGTTTTTCCATCAGCATTTTCTTAGATATATTTAATTTTAGTTAATTTTGGTGTCATCTGTAAGTCCCATGACTTCAGACACACCTGGAGCACTTGGAAACTTCATTTGTACCTAAGAGAAATTTCAGTATGAGCAAATACCACAAGTTTGGTTAAATCGCTCACATGACCTACCTAAGAACAAATGTTTGTATGAGCAGTTCTTGCTTTAGGCCCAGTTTTTTTTAACAGTTGTGTAAAAAGCTCATGTACAGTAAGAAAGAAAGTCACTTTCGGCTTTTTCCCATTTAGGGGTCGCCGCAGTGACGACTCGCATGTTGACATTTGGCACGTGTTTCATGCCGGATGCCCTTCCTGACACAACCTTGACTAAAAGCTCATGTACAGTAATATGGTAAAGTGATTTATGATGACATAAGTCAAAGGTTTGTCTCAACAAGAGTGTTGCAGTAATTAGTATAATCACACTGACAACAGAGATGTTGATGAAAATGTAGCTTTTGGAAATTCATGCTGTGCCCAGCTGTCTATTGTAATGTACAGTGAAACTTTATCACCTCAGGAAAGTACGCTGACCAAGCCTGAACAACTGGTTTGCAGTCGACTGCCTTCAAAAGCCCAACTTGGCAAAGCCTTACTGTCGATCAATGGAACATGATTCATCTCTTCAGTATGCATCAGTGTGCAATGGTCCTGGTAGATATCAAACCTTCTTTGTAGAAGCAGAACTTCAGCATGGTCCTGGTAGATGTCAGACCTTCTTTGTAGAAGCAGAACTTCAGCTTCGGACTAAAGAAGTTTTGTTTTTATAATGTTCAAATCAATTTCCCTAAATGATGTTAAAGAACAGAATGCTGCTGACTAACACTGCAACATACCCAGGAGCTGTTTTCACACATGCACTCTAGACTATGTCCATGGAATCCGCCCCAGACTTTGAGAGCTGCCCTTTCACACATAGCACGCACATGTCAGATGTGGCATGATACGGTCACGTGGCCACTTTGTAATTTGGTCATAAACAACAAAGTCTCTTGCCGTACTTTAAATTTGGCTGATGATTCTGGCACCGGCTCTTAACGAGAGGTTCCTGAATCTCGTGGTGTCTACAGTTAAGATATTTTTGTTAGTGTCTTCATTGTAAATTTTTCTTCACAGTTGGACGTTTGTAGTCTTCCAGTTTCATGCTGGTCATGTGAAACTGGAAGACTACAAGAACGTCATCAACACGCCCACTAGTTCCATGTGAATACTCCAGACTCTTATGCTCCTGTATTCTCATACGGTCTCACTTGGACATAACGTGGACTTTTTACTAGGGAGCTGGCAGGGTAAAGTCAGCTTAAGATCTGGGTCAACTGACTTTTGAATTCTCACATACAGCTCCCCTGGGTAGTGTCTAGAGAATTTCATGGTACCAGTGCAGGTCTGAATACTGCGGTGTAAAGGGACTCGCAAGCATCTACAGCTTTTGTCTATTACTAGTTTTATTCTTTTCTGTTTAATTAATGTTTGGTAATTTTGTTTAACTTGATCATTAATCTGTCAAAGAGCTTGAATGAAGTAGTTTTACACTTAAATTTTGCATTTGTACAAAAAAGGAGTACTCATATTTTAAATTTATTTCAACATGTACTGTATCAACATTATGCCAAGCTCTTGGGTGCAAGAGATGTACATATTTACCTTAGTCTTTTTCAAAAACAAAGTCAGTCCTTTAGGGTTGAGGAGATTTCTATATTAAAAGCCAGTTTTAAAGAGCAAGGTTTTTATAATCCTTGTATTTTCTTTCCTGTTAAAAACTGCTTCCAGAACAAGGAGTCATTTACCAAAAGGATGAAGCTGGGAGTGCCTGCTTTGACAAAAAACCTGTTCAAATAAGAGAAAAGACAGAGAATCAACATAAACAGTGTGAAGGAATTTGAAGAATGTTTGGATTTTTTCAAGTTGGTCTTAATATAACATTGACGGTCCTATATGTACAAGAGAAGAGGTCTTAGTAGCTGTAACTTCTCCTACTCTCCAAACTGACCCAGAATGTTACTATGCTGTAAAAAACAAAGACAAACTACACAGTCCTCATCCTGTGCAAAGGCTCACTCCAAAGTTCATTAGAGCTGAAGTGTCAGCTGTCCCACTAAGCTAAATCTGGTCAGTATCTTTCACAGTTTCAAACTATTTAAGATAAATCGGACTGTCTGTGTCCATTGGAAAATTCGCTACCAAACTGCGGCGGAGGGATACGTTTGCGTGTAGGTTTTGTTAACAGAACATGGTTTGTGGCTAATAGTCAACTCTACTGGGAGAAAAAGGGAGCTAAATTTGTGTTAAATTGTAACTTTGAAAGATACTGACTTGATGTAGCTTAGTGGGACAGCTCTGAATCTTCATTTGAGCCTCTGATGAACTTTGGCATTAGTTTTTGCACAGAATGATGGCTTTGTATATTATCCCCCATTTTTTTTTACAGCATAGCCAAGTTCCAGGTGGAAACATACAGGGTCAGTGTGGAGAGTAGAAGTTACAATGACTGAGACCGCTTCTCATGTACATATGGAACATCAATACCATATTAAAACTGACTTTTAAAATCAGAAGAATGACATCATGGTACAAAAATGTTTCCTAACAGGCAACATGCTCTGAAATGTACATTTAGGGCAATCATGGTATAAATCACACTTTACATCAGTGGATGTACCTTTTATGCTGCAACACTTTTAAAAGTGACATTTCTGGGTTTACTTGGTAGAGTGTCTCCTTCTCTTCATCTTCAAAGTACAACTAGAAAGTGAAGAAAGGTCAAATGTGTTTAAATAGGATTAAAGATAGATTATTGTGATTTACTGTATTGATATAACTGCCCTGCTTTTGGTAAATATGTATAATCCTAAACAGGTGAAGAGTATATTTTAAGAGCTTATTTTTGCTTAATAACCTGCACTTGCAAAAGAGTGACCAATAATATTTAAACAAAACACAAACCTGCAGATTTTGTGGGTGATATTTTCTGTCTGTGTCCCAAGGTGGAAGTTCTTCTCCAAACATGACCAACAGGTGATCTGTGAAACTGACAAGACCAATAAAACCATACACACATTATTCAGAAGCTGGGTTTATGCCTTAAAAACCCTGCCAATCCCTCTTATTTATCTTCATGGTAAAGTGTAAATGGGTCCACCTAGAAGGAGGCCTTGGGTGTTTCAGGTGCTATTACATACTGTATTTGTTTAAAAAGGTGGACTATCTATGCTTTACAATGGGTAATTTGACTCCTATTCAAGTATTTTGCCACCACTGACAATTCCTACACATGTATTACAAATAAATGTGAGAAACACTGCAATATGACTTAAGTTTTCCTTGTCAGCTACAAGCCAGTTAAGTACTTTCTATTTACACTTTCTAGTTATACAATAATGCACCAAAATCCAGTACAGACAGGACTATGAAGAACAAGAGGGGTTTACCAGCTGTTCTCACAGAAGGCTGAGATGAAATCACTTTGCTGGTGTTCAGGATAAAGGAAGAGCACAGGCCAGCGCAGAGAGCCCTGCTCGTCCAGGAAGACCTGAGCCCCGGTGGCCTCCTGAGAGCTGAGGCCATCCAGGCTCAGCTGTGCCATTGCTGCCGAGGAGCCTTCATCCTCATCCTCACTGTCTGAACCAAGCTGCTGACGAGGCTTCACAGACTGCAGGAGCTTAACGCCTCGATCCTGCAGAAAGTACAGAAATTCATCTAGTGATCATGTCAACACAGATCTTACGTCATGTTAACATACACTTATTAGAGATAGAAATACTTACAGATGTGAATGAATTTTTCAGGTGTAACTGAGTTTAAAGCTGAGGTTTAATTTTCCTCTCTTTTAAAGCAGATTCTCACCTTTATAGCAGCCAGAAGAGCTTCTTTCTCTCCATGTAGCTTTTTTTCTTTGGCCTTGGCCTTCCTGGCATCTCTCTCTGCTGCCCTCTAAAGTACAAAAATAAACAGGGCTTTGTGCTGATGGCAAGGAGTTTCAGGATGGCATAGACACATGACAACAATGCAGTGCAGCCTCCCTTTACAGCCTGCAGCCCAGAGTCTGCTGAACTCTTTAGTGATTGTACCTTGTGCGTATCTGCAGCAGCTCTCAGCTCCTGCAGCTTCTTGTCTGTGGGGTGGGCCCTGAGACCCGTGTCACACCACTGGATTGCCTCAGCAAAGTTGCGCAGCCCTATATAACACTGAGCTCCTGCAGACACACATGCAAGATGGTTTCTTCTGATTACTATGCATTTTCATAGAAGTAGGTGATGTAAATAAAATCTTCTGTCTTGGTTTATGTAATTCTATATCCTAATACTGATAACCAATACCATAATATCACTTTTAAAAGCAAAATAATTGAGAAACTAAGGAATCCTGTATAAAAATGAAAGTACTTCATCAGAGTGATGCAAAAAATCATAAAGACATCCAATATTAAACCACAAACTGTATTCTGGGCAACTTTCAGTCTGATTTTAGGCAACACCATAATGCTGAAACTGTACTGACAAAGCCATGACATTTGTGGTTTTACTGAAGCTAGTAAAAGAACAGTCCTAGTCCTGCTAGATCTCAGTGCAGCTTTTGAACACTGTGGATGACAATATTCTTCAGGAGAGGCTGGAAGTATGGTGGGATTAACAGGCACAGCACTGAGCTGGTTCACATCATATCACATTTTTGTTTCTATTGATGACTACAGATTGGAACAGATCACCATGACTTGTGATATCCCTCAGGGATCTATCCCTACACCTCTGCTTTTTAATTTGTACATGCTTCCACTTCATCATGTCTTACAAGGCTGTCACACTGCCCATCACAGTTGTGCAGATGACACATTTATTTAGCACTTACTACAAATGATTACTCCCCCTTAAATAATCTCTCACAATGTCTAGAGCAAATAAGCAACTTGATGAAGGTGCTCTATAAATAAACTGACATTGACATTAATGACTGATTCCTCGAATATTTTTACTAACTGTATCATTGAACCAAATGTATGTTACATACCTCTGATCAGGGCTTTAAGGTGGTCTGGTTTGATCTTCTTTGCAGCTGCAGCATCATTCAGTGCAGACCGCATGTTACCTGTGTGAGGGAACACAAGAACGTCTTACCAATGAGAGTGACATTCAGAGAGAAGGTGGAGGTAGATGTTTTTACATGAACAAAAACAGTTTTTGATTTTCTCAAAAGCCATTCTTCTTCATAACAACTTACTGTACATTCCTGGTGCTATTAATGTGTCTATCCTAACAATGGAGAAATATGTACCCATGTGAAAGTGTGCTGCAGCCCGGTTGGTGAGAAGAACAGTGTTGAGGTCCTCATCCCCACATTTCTTTTTCAAACCCGCAGTGTATGACAGTACAGCCTTCTGGTAGTTCTTCTCCTTGAAAAACGCGTTTCCCTCATCTTTCAGGCTCTTTGCTTGTTCTGGAGAGTAACAGTGCAAATGAACGGAATCATTAACAGCTTCTCACATTTTAACATTCATGAAACCCATTTGTGCTGCTCTGTTTTCTGTGACGATAACGTCAACTGGTCCCCTTACCTTCTGGAGGCCTGTCTTCATCATGGATCATGGCCTGGAGACATGCTAGTTCTGGGTATTTTTGTGGGTCAAGGTTTTCGGGGGCTGATTTCATAAACATAGGCACTTTATTAAACTCCTAGATGTGACAAAAACAAATAGATCACCGCTTATGCACAGGAATGGTAGCCTATTTCTTGTTTAACAAGTTTCCAGTTAGCTTGCTAGCTAACAACAATAATGGCATGTTAACATAGGCCTCTTAATCAAAAATAACTTTCTGGCTAATGTTAATAACCAATAGTTTCTACATATTTGCGTTACCTCTTCCCAGTTGTTTTCCGTGAAAGCATTTTTATATCTCTGGGTCTTGAATTTGTCCATGAACTCGTCCATGCCATCATCGCTGTCATTTTGCACCGCCGAAGACGCCATTTTCCATCCAAATATATATTTTTAAGAGTACGGTTTTATTGTTTACAAATCTTACGTAGCTAAACTATGACAGGAGATTACTGGCACAAACCCACCAGCTGTAGCAACATTACTTAGTTTCGAAATTTTCCGGCTCCTTGTTTACACATGTGCACGGACGGTACTGCGTTAATAGAGGTCCGTGCGGAAACACATTACTAATACATTAGTACCAAGCGCAGCGTGGGTAATAGATCAAAATCAACTATTCGGAAAGGAAAATAAACGTATAAATTCACTAAAATACTGTACCCTACTTAGATGATATTTGAAAGGAAAATGTGCTTTACTTGTGTTCTTCAATTTTATCCGTCTTTATCTGCTCAGAAAAATAAATTTATCAGAAAAAAAAGTCGAATAAAAAGTCATTCAAATATTCTTTGACCAGCAACACTGAATTCCAGTTGTTATAACACACATCTCTTTAATGTGTCAAATCTGCATAATGCAGTCTTTGACATTTTATATCCCAAGATCCATGATCAATCTTTTGTTTGGGTCAGTGTATGTAAGTTACAGGTTTTATGATTTTGTACAGCCAAAACTGACCGAAGACAAAATATACAAGGCTTTTATCTTCTTTTCCACCCACCTTATTTATTGCATCATAAGCATTTTGCTTATTATACACATATATAAAATGTTTCCACATTCAGAAGTGTTCCTCATACAGTTTCTATTCTCCTCAGTAAATCTAACAGTCCATCTTTACTGAGAAACATCGTCTCTCCCATCTGCTGACAGATTACTTCAAACCTGGGTGTTTCTTCTAGAGCATGCTGCCCTACCACAATAACATATGGGTAGCCCAGTTTGCTGGCATCCTTCAGCCTCTTTCCAATGGTCATCTGTGTGCGGTCATCAAGAACAACTTCACCTCTCAAATTTGGCAGAGTCTCTCCCAAATTGTGAACCAGGTCCTCAACTAAGACTGCTGCTTTGTCTACTTTACTGCCTATCTTTGGTGGTAAAACACAAACCTGGTAAGGGGCAAGAAGCCCTGGCCAGCAGATCCCCTCTTCTGTTGACATCATCTCAATGGCTGCAGCAAGAATGCGGGTGACTCCAAGACCATAGCAACCCATCTCAGCAATGCTAGGCTTGTTTTGGCTACTGCTGAAGGTGGCATTGAATACATGAGAGTACCTTTTCCCTAAGTAAAAGGTGTGTCCTACTTCTATACCTTTTGTTGCTACCAGTGTGCCAGTTTTGCACTGTGGACAGTCGGTTCTATCTGATGACATGGTCTCTACATTAGCAGAGAAAGAGCAGTTCCCACAGACCAAAAGCTGGTCCTCACCAATGTCTGCTGGCAGCTGGAACTCATGGGAGAGTTTACCGCCAATGTTCCCTGTGTCTGCCTGCACCTGAATGCAACACAGGCCCAAACGGCTGAAGAGCCGGGTGTAAGCTTGGCACACAGATTCATACGTCTGGTGAGCTGCTTCTTCACTCACATCAAATGAGTACATATCTTTCATGTAGAACTCCCGCCCTCGAAGAAGACCAAACTTTGGCCTGGGTTCATCTCTGAATTTCCTTGTAATCTGTTTTATACAAAATAAATAATAATGTAAAACTGAAGCTATTACGAGAAAACATATGGAACATATGGATGGAGGGTAAATCCCACCTGATAGAGAAGCAGAGGGAGCTGTCTGTAGGAGAGAGTCGCCTGATGAGCGACTAGTGTCGTCACTGCCTCCTCGTGTGTGGGACCCAAGCAGTAGTCGACTCCATGCCGGTCTTTCAGACGGAAAAGCTCATTTCCCATCAAATCCCAGCGCTCGCTGGTTTTCCAAAGATTGGCTGAGCACAAACTGGGCATGTCCAGCTTCTGTCCCCCAATCGCCTGCATCTCCTGGTCAATTACTCTTACCTATTGATCCCAGACAACAGTTATTGTGTTTTTCAGGGCCAAAATAAAAACATACAGGCTAGATGTTGCACTCTTTTGACAGCTGCTTTCAGCCTGAAAGTCAGGACACACCCAACAGATTGGAAGATAAATGTCAGAGGTTTCAAGACGACTAACAGGATATGAAACCAGAAAAACTTTGTTCTATGAGACTCTGTTTTTCTAATACTTCATTTTTTCCCCAAGGACGACTGGATAAATTTTCCTCTTTAGCCCATTAAAACCCATGTGCATTCATTATTCTGAGAAGGAAACATGACTCTTTGGCCAACTGTTCACAACATGGAGACATGCACTCTGTCACAAGTGGCCATAAATAAACAAATTACTTTGTTTTAAAGGGTTTGTAGCCAAAACGTTTGGGAACCTTTAATTTATAGTCATGGATAACTGTCATATTATGCAATCTTCTTAAACCTGTTTTAAATAAAATTATCATGTGTAAAGGATTAAATTTTTGCCTTTTGATTTTGATCCCCATTAGTTTCCCTAAAGTAGTTTCTTGCTGGGTAAAATTTTTTTTACTAAGTATTAATGACAGAGAAATGCAACGAAATCCACACAAACAGTTGAATAAATTCCAGAAAATAAAAGATAATAACATTTATAAAGCAAAAATAAGCTTATCGGGGGAAAAAAATTAATAAAAGATCCTAAACAATGACAGCTACAATACTATAATCAACTGTAATTCATTGGTCTTTGGTTCAGTTTATTTTCTCTTTTTGATCTGTCTTTTGTTGTAGAGTGTCATATTCTGTGTTAGAAAAAAGTCTTCATGAACATGGCTCAACCAGGTGACCATGGTTATGAACCTGATCTATATTAATCCTATAACAAAATTAAAAACTTGTCTCACCAGCTTTTCCATGGAGCGGACCATGGCCGGAAGGTAGTAGTAGCATCCTGGGCTGGATGGATGGATGAGGCCAGCCTGCTGCATGAGCCGCTGGCTCTTGCACGTCATCTCTCCTTGCAGCCCGACATCACGCAGGTTTAATGGCTGATAGAGTCGGGACACTGGGAGTGTAGGTCTGATACGTCTGGAGTGAATGGAGGCAAGAACGGTTGCCTGCTCAGCGCAGCCTGAATGGCTCTTTCTGAGAAATAGTGAGGCTCTCTGGAGGCGCTGGAAGACTCTCAACCACACATGATGCATTATAGGCTCCATGGTAGATCCAGATGCACTGCTACGTCAGAGAACAGATGACACAAATCAGTCAGAGCTGAAGCAATTAATCATGTGTAAGCTCATTCACTGGCAATATTTTGTTAATCAATTAATTATCCAACCAATTAAATAGCCAAACATTCAGCAGTTACATACTGCTGAACATATACTATATATACTAAACTATTAACTAGTTCTACAAGAAAACAACTGAAAGTTTACCTAATAAGAAAAATAATGGTTTGTTATAGCCCTAAAATCAGTACAGAAGTTAAATACATCACTTTAAATTTGAAAAACCTTACATTAGTTATTTTTAATGCTACTTTTAACTTCAGAGGGAACTATTCTACTTTCAACACCTTTTGCATTGAAATTTACATAGTATTTTAGTATATAAAGTCTTTTTCCTGATATTACCAATGCATTACACTAACATAGTGTAGCCTACTTAGACTAAGTAAGATTTTAATCCCTTTACTTGTGATGTGGTATTTTCATATTGTGGCATCACTACTCTTACTTAAGTGCAGGATGCTTCTCTTACCATAAGTGCAGAGTGTCCACAGGTTAAATGCCAAATTTGACATGAATTTAAAAAGACAGTCGCTACATGTAATTACAAAACAGGTGAAGTCAATGTCGTCACAGCTCAGTAGTTTCGTTCCATATATATTTAGTTCTGTGAATCAGCTATACAGGTTGTAACATACAGAGGACGCACAGCCGAGGCTGGCGATAAGTTACACAGTTCAGAGACACAGGTTCCCAATCCTGCTAGCTAAGGTTAGCTCCCTAGTTAGCACACAACAACGTACGTCCGCAGAACGAATGAGCAAGACTCACCTTAGGACCGCAACTGGATGATGATCGTTCTGAGTAGATTATCACATTAAAGAAACAAAGGGTGGTATTTCTGCTAAATTTGATCAACTGCACTACTTAACACTGTCTTCCCTTTTCAGCTACACGCCTGGAGTTTCATCGCTCTACACCGCCACCCGCAGGACCGGAGGAGTAATTGAGCGACAGGGCAGGTGAATCCATGCGGTGTCTCCTGTGCCGCTGGCTGTCACACACCCACAAAGCAGAGTATTTCCACCACTAGAGTAGCACGCCAGACGTTTTTCACAATCACTGTGTATTAATGTTTGAAGAAAGGTTCACTTTCAATGTATATTTGCTGCAGCGGGTGGATTTACTTCTTGTTACTTCAAAACTCATCTAAGTAGTCCTACTTATTTTGCCCAGAGTTGCCCAAACTTTAGTGGGATACACAATTGTATACTGTACCTACACATTTCAAAACTTGTCTGTTTTGCCTGCACCCTTTTTTACCCCATGTCCTAGACATTATATCCTCACCCTTAAGTGCCTGATACTACCTTGTAAAACAATGAAAAATGCCCACTAGATATTTCCCCTGATCAGATTCTTTGTTCTATTAAATATGTTATACTGTTAGTTACTGCATGGCTACATAAAAACAAATGAATGCTTGATTTTCGTGGCTTTTTGTTAGCTTGTCAAGCACTGTTTCATACTAAAGGGCACAGGGGTGTATTGCATTTGTGCTTGTGCCAGTTAGTTTGCTTTGGTGACATGGTGGAGGCCCAGCCAACAGGTTGGTTGATAAAACGTTGGCCATAACAGGGGCCCTGGCTTCAACAGTCACATTACTGTCAAAAACCAAAGGCTGAATATTTTCTTTATTCATTGTTTTTTTTTTCTCTAAACATTATTTGCACAAATCATATATCATCATTTTGAGCTCCAAGATTTTTTTCTTAAATGATTATTTTTCATGTTATGTAAATTCTGGATGTAAACTTTTTAGGGCAGTAAACAGCATGCGTTCACAGTGAAATCAGAGAATAGTGAGATTCCAGTTTACCACAGCTATCCTAAAGGTTTTTGGGACTGTTTAGCTGACTCTATAGACATTGGTGTTTCTAATTCCTAGAAGAAAGTACACCTTACAACAAAACAAGTGACAATTACCAACAATGAGTGTTAGGTAAAATATCTGATGCACTCTTTTGGTACAATTGATGAGTTTTTATTGAACGTACGACACTATCTCATGCAATCTTTGCCTGTTGTTGACATTATACTGTACTGCAGTCTGAGTTAATGCACTTTCGCTGGCTTTATAGCATTTTATGCCAGCAATTTTAAACCATTATTCCCTCAGTCAGTCAATAACACACAGGCACCTGATGGTAGGCTCACATGGCCAACACACACAGCTGGGTCTGTCTGGCTCTTTTCTTACAGGTAGACCCTACAGAGGACGTCACTGAGTCTGATGTCTTCCCAAGCCCATTAGGTTTGTGCCTGTTTCATCCAGTTATCTAGTGGCTTTTCTTGTAAGAGTTAGTTCTCCGAGAAATGGGCAGCTGAATGTCTCCTTGAGATATGAACAATCTCATTAGGACAGATTTGATCTGCAGACATCCTAATTATGAACAAGAAGAGACACAAAATGACCACAACAACCACACCAAAGAGATGTAAAACATCTGCAAAGAGGCAAAATGATGCAAAATCATTACAAAGAGATACAAAACAACCACAAAGAAATTCTAAATAACAAAGAGCCATAAATAACTTCAACTTCAGTTTGGTTGTTTTGCCTTCATGTAGTAGAGGTGGGTGACCTTTCACCTGTTTGTGCTCATCAACAAACATTTAGTTTCTGCTTATATTTTGTTTTAGTAATTTGAATCTGCACAGTTACTAGTAACTAAAGCAGTCAAATAAATGCAGAAGAGTAAAAAGTTCAGTATTTCCCTCTGAAGCACAGTGGGGTAGAAGTGTAAAGTAGCATAAGAGTAATACTCAAGTAAAGTACAAGTACCTCAAAATGTACTGACTGAATGTACTTATTTTACTTTAAACCACTGGAGGGAGACATGATGAAGTCAGACATTTTTCAACCAAAGAATTTCAAGAAGGTGAATGCAAGTGAATCAATCAGGCAAATAACACAATTGTGAAAGTGGTAATCAGATGTGATCATGTTCAAAAAATTTAAAATACCGTGCAAATGTCTGCATTAACTCTACTTAAAATCACATTTTGTTTCCTTGTTAGCAACCTAATACATTTTGATAAATACTGATGCATTTGGGTATTTGTTTCTCTATGCACAATCGTCTTGTGTGCAGACATTCTCTACTGTCTCCATCAAGAACCAAAGGCAGCCTGTAGTCTGTGAGGTAAATCCCAGGGCAAAAAGTTCACAGCTTTATGGTAATCAAACAGGAATCATTTTTTCCCCAAACTGCCAAAAGTGTACTGGTGTCAGAAATATAACTGTCTGATGCAGCGTTACTTCTTTGAACAAAAAACAAAGGCATCTTGCCCAAACCATAAGAACAGTCCTAAAACAAAAATTCAGATGGTGTCCAAAAACCTTTGGTCATATCGTCATTTTGTAAGGTACAGGGGGACTAAATTCTTTACTTGTTATAACTGATGTAACAAATAATCCTCACCTGCAGTCACACACTGTCATATCTTCATATTTCACTCTTGCTTAGTGAGGTATGGCTACACTAACAACACTTGTTTGTCAGATCGTGTCACTGGTTTGGGCTTTTCCTGGAATGAAACAACCATATAGCCTGTCCAAATAAACACATAACATAATATAAACATTCTAAATGGAACCTCCACCATTAATGATGGAACTGAAATGTCCTGCTGACTATTTCTTCACATTGTGAGCAGCACCTTAATGACCTGAGTGATGGACTGTCAACATTGACTTTTTCCCCCTCATATGCTGTAAAGTGAAAGACATTCAGGCCATCAAAGAGTTGTAAACAGATGCAACATCTGTTTGAGTGCAGGGGGAATCGCTTTGCATCGCTCAGTTAGCTGATCAGCATAGTGAAGATTGGTGCAATCACAGCCTTAAATCATATATTTGCAGAGAGAGACCGAGGAGGCTGCTCCTCATTTAAAGGGATTGTCATCTGAGGGTTGTAAAAGGCTGATGGTTGTCACTCTGACAGCTAAAAATGATGATGGTGGAGATGAGTGGAAACATAAAATGACTGCATGTGTGTTCGTGTTTGTGTGTGGGATGGGCTAAAGGCCGGTTAGAAGGAGGAGGAGAGATATTCAGCACTGATGAACTGGAAGTTGGATGGTATAAAATGAAGGGAGATGTGGGTGCTGGACCAACGACCCGTCTACAGAGAAGAACTTCAGTGGGTTTGGAGAGCATAAAACCAAACCAAACAAAAAGATATTTAGACAGTCAGGTATCCAAGATGCGGGCTTTGGTGGTTTTGCCTCTGTTACTGTGTGCAGTGGTGTGTATGCACCAGGCGAGAGCAGAGGTGAGGGCAGTGAAGCTTTGCGGTCGAGAGTTTCTGAGGGCGGTCGTCTACACTTGCGGAGGCTCCCGCTGGAGGAGATTCTTCACTGAGTCAGACATGGATGGTGAGACCTCAGTCCTATTTTGTAGCAGATGTACTGCACATTATGTACCTACACAGTTTCTACCTAACCCTAACCCTAGCCATTTGTACTACTTACTTATTATTAGGCTATTTATTTGGACTTTTTTGTCAAGTCCATCTTCGAAATCTTAAACTCAGTAAGAATTCCTGAAAAATAGTTTTCACTTTTTGTTTCTATTTAAGTAGCTATAGCATTTATTCTGTCACTGTCAGTTTCATATACAGTACAGTAAATATTCTGTAATACTTTACTCCAGGTATTCCTGTCTTTCCCCAGAATTCAGCCCGACATACTGCACTCTAATTGGTATTTTTGTAAACTGTGGGATCTCCTATGAAATTAGAGATAATGTTCTGTGAGTTTAAACTGTGTTTGACTACGTAAGTTAATTAATTTGGCTCACTCCTGAGCTACTACATTTTACAGGTTTAACTACTGTCTAAGGATGAAAGGACACCATGTCTCAATTACAGTATATTTTGTAAAACCTCTGAAGACATGAATCCTTCAGTTTGTATCCACCTTTAGTGGTTTATCCTATTCTCCATATCTGCCTGAAACTGTTCTTTCACAATTTTCTTCTAATAAAATTCTTTAAACCATATTTTGATGTTACTTTTTCTTACTCAGGCATCAATATGTGATCTCACCAAGCTTCTATGTCCTTCTGCCCAAAGTGGAGAGTAAAGTTTTCTGCATGTGAGATATTATCCCTCTGAATAAAACAAAAAAGAGCTATCATATTAAATGGTATTAATTGTTTTGAAAGTTAGTGGCCTTCAGCTTTTCACTGCTGTGTCCTCAGCCTTTTCACTAGTTTCTTTCACTTAGGCAGCTCTCCATTTAACCAGACTGCTGAAACTTTCCTGGCCGTATCATTTGCACACTGTATACCATTAACTCAGAGTCTGTTCAGGGTGTGCAAGGACACAGGTCCCCTCTCAGACATGCCGTGTGCTGTTCAGGCCACACATATCATGATTAAATGCTGGAGCAGTCCGTTTCCTGGGTGCCTCACTCGTACTGGCTGTTACACAGAAACAAACCCAGTTAGCCTATTAGTTGTGCTGATCAGAACCAGTAAAGTGACACTGGAAAAAACAAATGGTACTGAGTTAATCTCTAGTGTCTTTATTTGATGGGAACATGGACATAAATGACATAAGACTGATTTGAAACAGCTGTTCACACACACACACTGAGACTAGAAGAGGAAAGTGTGTAGAAACATGGTTGTTAGACTAAATGTTGACGGCTTTTCTTTAGCATTCATTCATTGTATTTTGTTCCAGGTCTGTCCACAGGGGACCAGAGCAGCTCGGAAAGCTATAGCAAAGGCCCCGAGTTGACCAAAAGAGACTATAACAAAGTGCTAACTGCCGTGTGCTGCGAGGTGGGCTGCAGGAAGAGCGACCTCACCAACCTCTGCTGACAACAACCGCCTCTTTTCTTCCATCTCAAACCGACCAAAATGACTTTCTCCCATTTTGCCTTGCCTTAATCACATTGCTGATGTTTTAAAACAATATAACCAGTGTATTGTATGTATAATAGTGCTCATATCTACAACTTCTACTTGTCTAATCGCTTTTAATATTTTAATTTTGAATTGTAAGGTTTGTAGATGTGAATGTGGACCACTTGAGCATCTGTGAGCACATTTCTGAACCTGCCCTGGAACATGCACTACCACAAAAATTAATTTTTATATAAACCAATTTACAATAATTAAGAAACAAAACTTGAAATAAATGCACTCAAGGATAGGATTAACAGCTAGAGAGGACAGATATATTGTGTGACGCTTATGTAGCAAGCATCCACAGTGTTGCAGATTTGTTTGAGCTCATTCTATCATTTTGCTATTTTGTTCAAATAAATGTTCTTGCACAGGCTTTACATCCTGTGAAGTGTGAGATCTTATTTAAAATTACAGTCCTGGGCATTGAACACTAGACAATGCTTACAATTTACAGTATATACATGTGCAAACTTTGATGATCTGTCACAAGGAGATACGGTATTCCTTCAAATTAAGGGGTCACAAGCAAGTTCCTTAGTTCATTTCTGAAAAAAATAGGGCCATTATGATTGTCATAACATCATTACAAAACAAAGTCAAACTAGAATTACTGCCTCACAGCTATCTGCCTCGCCAAGCAGTCTAAATCATGGGAATGGGAAAGATGTGAGGTCACTGACCTTGACCGTGAAAGGTTCCTCAGCTGGGAAAACAAAACCTTGATTGTTTCTCAGATTTTTCTCCAATATTTGCTTCTTTTCTGTGAAACATTCTACAGTTGTTTTTATTCAGCTCTCTAAAAAAAATTCACATTACAGCTCAAGAAAAGAAAGTCATTCTTTGGCTGAACAGCTCGCAACTTATAGAAATGCAACAGGTCACAAGCTATTCCTTCATATTAAGGGGGCACAAGCAATGCAAATGGATGGGAACCACTGGCCTACAGTAGTAAGAGTTAATGCACCAACCATGAGCAGTGTCCCCTGTTCACACCTGCCTGGGGACTTTTATTACATGCCATTTTTCCTTTCTATCCCTTTTTCACAAGAAAGACTAAACACAGAATGACAAAGAAAACCGCAAAAAGAGGCACCCAGTTATAACTTTTAATGGTTTTGGAAAGAAGCAAATTAAGTTTCCCAGTTCATCTTATGCAACTGTACAAACAGCTTGCACGTGTTTGAGGTTAACGGTACAGAACCAATAAGCATTCTGGCTTATAGCACACAAACACACCCCCTGCTCACTTCTCAACATTAATACAGGTAACTGACACTCAGCACATGTCATTTCAGTACTGTTTATCATCATAGATGCCTCACCATTGACTGCAGGCTCTGTATGCAATAATTAATTACTGCAGAACAAAATCACCATGAAGATGAAAATCTGCAAAATGCAAGTGTTGTTCCATTGTTTGATTAGAAATGCAAAGAATAATCTAACAACCAAGAAACTGGGGAGATGTTGCTTTGCCTTTCAAGCTGAAATACATCTGAGATGTAATGTAGTGGTAATTTAAAACAAATGCATGATGTACGTAGATAATGTTATAGTGACTGTTGTGTCTTCAAGATTCACCCAGGAGATAACCACTTTCTCTCAGGCATGCTGATCAGTCAACTAGATGACAGACTGACAAGACTGAAAGGAAATGTTACCAAGCTAATGTATTACCAGAAGCTAAACTGCACCAATCATCATCACTTCACCGATACAGAATAAAATGTCAATGTTCTTTTAGATGAAGTCTGCACACAAAAAATCTGGTGAAGAACAAGATTTAAATTTTACCTGCATGACCTAGATCTGACTTTTCCCGGTGGTCAAATAAGTACATTTATTTTTGTCCAAGTACTACATTATTGAGCAGGAATATTGGTGTGGGATAAATAGCCCTCTTGTCATAAATCAAGGTGCTTCTATAACAGCTTTGAAAGGACTATGATCAGCTGCATTTAGCAGAATGCTGACATACAGTACAGAGATCTTCAGGCTACACTTCACACACACTTTTTGTTCTTCATGTTGAGTGTCAGAACATTCAGGAAGTTCAACATCATAAGCACAGTGTTATTTTTACATTAAACAATATAACTTTTTTCATTTTTATCCATTTTAAAAATATTCAGCTTATTCTCCTTGACAGAGGACCAACTGTCCTGGGGCGCGCGCACACACACACACACACACACACACACACACACACACACACACAAAAGAAAACAATTCTGTTTGACTTAACCTCGTTTCACAACCTCATTTAACTCATGTCATCTCACAGAGACCTTTACAATTAAGCAAAATAAAGTCATGGATTCAAGTGCTGGTCAGATGATCAGGGATGTGCTTATGATATAACCAGGGGGTTTAGGTACTACTGAAATGAATGGGAACAGGTAACAAACAGGTGAGAAGCTTATGACACATAGGTCAAGGTGATAATAGAGGAGGAGGATGTAGGAACTGACAATAGTGACTCAATATGATTGTTTCTTTTGTTTTAGCAGGTTGAGATTTGAATGAGAAGGGAAAAAAAACAAGCTGGTCCCAGGAACAAATCCTGTTCCAGTAGTTGCACAACCAAGCTTCATCAATACTCAAGGATAACTGATTGTTTTAGTTGTCGTTGCCTTGACGTTAATTTGAGGGAATAGGTCAACATTTTGGGAAACAGGTTTGTTTGCTTTCTTGTTGAGAATTAGATTGGAAGATGGATATCAGTCTTAAATCTGACTGTTAAATATGAAGCTACAGTACAACCAGCAGCTGGCTTGCTTAGCTAAGCACAAAGACCAGAAGGCTGACTCTGCCCAATGGTAAACAAGAATAAAGAGTCATACTAGCAGCTTTGTGTAGCTGTACTTTGGCACAGTGGTGATTTGAGCTAAATGCTAACAGCAGCTTTCTAACATGCTCACAGCAACAACGCTAACATACTTATGTTTACAAAAATATATTAACAATGTACAACATGTTAGTTTAGTGTGTTAGCATTATAGTATTTTAAAATTTGCACTAAACTGATATTTGGTCAATTGGTCAGCAGTATTGAACAAATTATTCTGGGGACCAAAATGTCTGTACAACACTTAGTGGTAATCAATTTAAGAGTTTAGATATTTCAGTCGAGACCACTGACATATACAGTATGCAATGGACAAGGCATGACCACTTCCCTCCACTATGCACTCGTGAATATGGTGGCTGCCATCTTGCTTTGTTGCAAACAGATTCTGTGCAGTAGTGACCAGAAGTGGCATGACAGCATTGGACTGCCAATCAAAGCTGTCAAATCATCTGAAGTACACCTCTTCTATATCATAAAATAACTTATTAAAAACAAACTTACCAGTAAAACTACCACTGGTACACACATCAGTGTGATAATATCTAGCAAAAACCACAAAACTGACCTGTGAGAAAAATTTATCTGATTTGTACTTTGAGTTTTTATTTTGGCTCATGTCCCATCCAATAACATACAGGAAGCAGGACTTATGAACTATACTGTAACCAGCCACCAGGGTTAGGGTTAGGGTTAATTTCTGGTGGCTTCACTTGTGGGAGCTGTCAGCCTGCCCTTTGTCTTTACAGTGAAATGTCTGGACCAAGATGGCAGACTAAGTGACCAACATTACCAATAGTATGGCTAAGAGTCTACATACCAGTGCCTCTAAAGCTAGAAAAGAAATTGTACATCTTGTTAACCACCAATAAACACTTAGTTCTTTGTAAAGACTAAACAATGCAGACATACATAATCAGTGAGCTTTTGTTATCTTTAGACGCAACATTTTCCAGTCTTTATGCTAAGCTAAGCTAATCACATCCTGGCTCCAGCTTTATATTTAACATATATGAGAGTGGTACCGATCATCTCATCTAACTCTTGTCAAGAAGCAAGTGTATTGGCAAGTGTATTTCCCAAAATATTAAAATGTGGACTTTGCCCATGGTAATAACTAAAACTACATTAACACTACTTTCACAAAGCAATACACAGCATCCAGGAAGATATTTATCTTTTCCTTTAAATTATCCCCCACCCATATATATATAGCTGAAATCTTCTGCTGAACTTGAGTTAAAAAATTATATCTGAAATAAATTCAAAAATTATACCTTATACTGTACACGGGTTACCCAACTACACAGATAACAAAAAAAGAGAATTCAAATATTTATACCTTTAAGGGTCTGAATTGTGTGATACCATTCAAATTCTATTCATAGACAGCATTCTATTTTATACAACATCATAATAAATAAAAATAGAATGCTGTCATGAACTCGAGTCTAACACTGCTGTCCTAGGAACAACAGACAATACAAGGAAAACACCAAACGCCCTTTAGGATACTGTATACACTATTGATTTAAAATGACACTTTGTACACTTCTTTTATTCTGACATTAAAACATGTTTTTCTTATTTTGCAACCAGTATGTTGATTTATCATTGCAGCTGCCTAACTTGCTAAAAACCTCTCCACATGTATATATTCCAGACAGATAAAATAAGTTTGACTGCTCAGTGCAGTTGCATTAAAAAGGATGCGGTTCAAAGTCATGTGACCCTGTAAGTACCAGTAGGTGATGCATGAAATTCTAGTGTTTTGTAGCTACTTGATCCTGTGTTTCATCTGATTGCACACAACGTATGGATCAGGAAATGCATTCAGTTGAGGTCAACCCCACACAAATGGCCACAGTGAGGACAGCTCTCCCAGGCTTTGAGCTCGGAGCTGTGATTTTTGTATGTCCTAATGAAGGTGTTTAACTTTGCTGTGTACTGTCCTAGGCCCTTGCTTTAATTAATCTACGTTTTGATATATCAGAGGTTGAGGTGTGTCTGACCACAAAGATATTACTGAAGGATATTTTTACAGCCAAATGTTTCTGGACAAGGGACGACAACCGTCAACCAGAGTATAATCTAGCTGAGGCTCTTTCTGTACACCTTCGGTCAGGCAGCTGCAGTGAAACTTTTAAAAACACAACCACACATTGACCAGAGGCAGATGTAGACAGAAGCACAGACTTTAGAAGAGAGAACCCAGGTGTTTAAATGCAGCAATACAGAAGTTATGAAATGAATACAAATACAATAATTACGTGACCGAGAACAGTTCCACAATGGTATATGTAACTTATACAATACTGTTGGGTAGGCTGCAGACCTGTGGGTTCAGAAAAGGTTAATGGAAAGCTTGTCTGGCATTGGTCTGTCCTCTGTCCTCGATGTCATTCTCAGTACATTGCGACTGTATTGTTCAACAGTGCTGCTCTTAGTTGGGTTAGTTGTCGGCCAGGTATTTTCCTGAAAAACAACAATGAAATGTTTAAGTTTTATCTCAGTCCATTAAGAACTCTTATCAGTCTATTGCAAAGGTTTTCAACTCTGAGAATGCAGAAATGAGAGGCAAAGACTGGGTGTGAGTTCAAACAGACGGTGCATACTGAAAGCTAGTTGTATTTTGGCCCAGTGATTTGATCTGTTCATCAGCACAATAAGAGCTGGGTCTTCTTCCTATAGCCTTCCCCTCTGCCTTTGTACTAGCAACTTTCTAGCTTGAATAAAGATGCTAATAAAAACACTGTAGTTAACAACAGCTCCCCCCTTAGTGTAAAAGTTGTTATGGCTGCTGGAAGATATTTAAGATGTTAATTTCAGAGTTAGAGCCTTCATCAATGGAACTGACTTGTTCACACACAATCTGTATTTTTACATCACTGATGAGAGGTTATGAACACATCTTTTTTAATTTATAATAAAAGCAAGGAAACATTTGTACTTTAACTGCAGGTTAGCTGCTTTATCTACAGTAGCAAATGTAAACAGCAAAATAGTTAATGCAATACATGTTAAAAATCATAGTAATCAAAGATTTCTATTCTTGCCTTATACTCACAACCTCCTCAATCTGTGTAGAATAAGGCAGATTGAGGAAAAGTAAAAATTTTTTTTTTTTTAAATCACAAAAATTGTTGCTAAAAAAAGTCTTTAAAGGTTGGATGATATGCAAGAAGAAGCTGATCTGTCGATGGAGGAGCATTTTTCTGTCTCGATCTTGCTGAGTTGGGTTACCTATAGATGTTACCGGTGGCCCAGAGGGCCTCTGGGTTTGTCTTGGAAGCCCACCTTGGATGAATTCCTCTGCTTCAGCCTAAACCTTTTGATTAGAAACTTGTTCTATTTACCTTTGACCGGCCAGTCTTACCACTTTAATGTGAGTGACAGTGACAGCCAGCCATCATCATGAGCTAAAGTACGTTCATACAGTAACTGTATATTGTTAAACTGACCTGCGGCAAACCTCTTCTTGATGAGAGAGAAGCGGTATCCTGGCCCAGCCAGTTCAATGTCACAGCCTGACAGGGTGCTGCCCTCACTGGTGAACTGTACTGCCAGCGGTGCTGGTTTACTGGGCCCTTCTGTTAGCTGGAAGCGTGCTAACAATGACCCCACACCTGAGGGAAGAGTTTGTATTTAGAAAGACATCTGACAGCCACAAGAAGAGGTCTCTTCATATCTCTTTTATACACAGGGGTGTACAAAGTGGAACCGAGATCAAAGATTCAAACATAAACAGCTTTGGAAACTATTTTGGACAGACAGCAGAAAGATGTTGCTCCTGAAAGAATAAACACAGGTAGAAGTTCTATTTGAGTATATACAGGTAATCATATCAAAGCCAATGTCAAAATAATTGCTAGATGGAAATTTCAGGGAAGCACTGAATGAGACTGATTTGACAGGAAAATTAAAAAATTGCACATCATCTTTCCTGTCAAAGGACATAAAAAGATACCAAACAATGAGCTATGATACCAAGAGAAAGACATTATATGTCATCCATATCCAAAAGAATCAAGGTTAAACTGATCATGTTTGAGCTAGATTATGTTTTCTGTCCTACAGAGAACTAAATAATCAGCTTTACTGTCCTGCTTCTGGACATCAGGTATTCCCTGAGGCCTTCTGGCCGTTACAGGAAATAGGCCAACAAATTAAAGTAGGTCATAAGACGTCAGTCTGCCATCTCAGATCCACAAATTAAACTCTATAGGTTCTCAGTAAATATTCCGATGTTTGCTAATGTGCAACACCCCTGCTGGACAGGAGGCACTGGTTTCTCATACACTTTGTATTCCCATGGCAACGTTACCTCAGATGTTTTACCAGGTTATGGCTGATTCTGTTATTCTTGAACAGGGAGTGCCAATTTGCTGCATGTACATACAAAGGTGATCTCGGCGCAGTACCCCTGGTTTCCATTGTGGTGTATTTCCCACAGTCCCACAGGTGTTTTATATATGTATCAATATTATGATACTTGACCTACCTCCATTTTCAGATTTCTGTGAAATATCAGGAATCTTCCAAAGCATTCTTTGCTGCTCTGCATTCCTGTTGGGATTTAAGAGAATAGAAAACCAGTGAGACCATTAAACCTAAATTATTACATTACACATATAAAATGTAAAGAGTGAAATTACATATCATTTCTAATTTAGATATGGATCAGACATATGATGCTGAAACTTACCCTGTGTAATGTGTACTGTCAGTATCAACAAAATTAAACCAAACAGCTTCATTTTATGATTTTGATGCTGTTCACCAGTGCACCACAGTTCTTTGTAAACAAGCAAAATTCAGTGCTGTATACACACCTAACCAACCTCTTTACCATATCAGCCTATCAGCTACATAATACATAAGAACAAGTCTAGAAAATGTCTGGACAGTACCATGCAGCAGGAGGTAAGACAGCTTGTAGTTTTGAAACCCCTCCATCGACAGGGACGAGGAACTGGACATTGTTGAGGGCCACTGGCTTCGACATGGCCTCCCCATTGTATTTATAGTCTATCCTAAGATCAGTGCTGGTGGGCTCACACCTCCAGCTTACCGCCAGGTTCAGTGGAGTGGACTGAAGGCCCTGTGCCGTTACCTACACAGACAAAGGTGTAGACGCAATGTAAACCTGGTGGGCCAAAACCATTAGCTTTTAGATGCCCGTGAGCCAGGCTTACCTGATACTTGAGCATGTCCACGTTATAGTATGTTGCTTGTGGCTTCTGCTCTGCCACTTTCTTTAAATGGGAAATCAGATTTGGCATGTTTACCCAGAAGTCCTTGGCATCAACCTTGACTTGTGTGGTGGTGGTGGTGTCACTGGGGAAGCACATAGAAATGCACAATTAAAACACAGACATTTATCATGATCCTGCTGATCTTTTAACCTAGTGAATGTGCACTCTCACATGTTGCATAAGTAGAGTGATGGCACAAGGAAGCATTTAAATTTTCACAATGAGGCACAAGGAGTTGTACTTTATACTGGTTTTACAGCAGCTATGTGGGGTCTAGGAGTAAATAGCTTCCATTTTTAAAAGGGAAACATTAATTACATTTTATTTCATAATTAATCACAACTAAAACTACAGCATGCTGTGTTTTTGAATGGTTTTTAGCAAAAAATATGGTCCAAAATATATCTTAATGTGTAGAATAAATGTCAAAGGCTTCTCTGAAACAGAATTGAGCAAGACTCGCCCCTCTAAACATTCAAAGAAGGCTGAACTCAGGGGTGGGAGCGCATTCATGTTGCTAAGGCTAAGTCCTTATTCTGGCATTAGTTAAGATGGTGTACATGGCAAAGACAGTAAGACAATAAAGACTCTTAAATTAACAGAAGAGAAATGAAAAGAAACCAGTGAAGTTTGGTTTAGATCAAGAACATACATCAGCAGATGTGAACGATTGCCAAATAGATGCCGATTTGTTATTATTTTTCTGCTTTACCAGTAAGTTTTGTAGCCTTGTTATTTGTTGTAATTTCAAAACAACTAACATTTAAAGGGCTTGGTGAAGTGTAAAAGCAGGGAGAGGGAGGGCTGGTTTGAAGTCTCATTCCAGCATTAGCTCGATTCCCAAAAGTTGCATAATGCAACAGCGTCAGTTAAGCTACTGTATTGTGAAGTAATATATTTAAAAGTACCATTATAAGTGGTGATTTTATTAGTGTTGAATTCAAATTTTAATGGTCTGAGTTGTTGTGCTTCTTGAGTCTTTTGCAGCATGACTCAAAGGACAACAAACAAAAGCTGACCTTTGTTCAATTAGTTTGTCTGAAAACTCAGATGACATCACGATGACTCAGTACTCAGCACTCAGCTGGCATGACCTCACTGATCATTACTCATTGCATGAGCTTCTATAGCTAAGACTAGCAAGATATGGCAGAGAATGTACCCACAGCAGCTTTTAGTTGCAAACATAGACTGTATACGAGAAAGTTGCAACTAAAAAGTTGCTGCTGCAAGAACGAAAATCAGAATTAACATTGTGTGGGATCATGGGGTCAAGGATTGGAGGAGTGGGTGAGGCTTTTGAACAATGGTGACAGTTGAGAGAAAGCGATGCCATGGTGGCTGTGTTTCTGCTGGACTGGTGATTATTGGGGTTTTGTTTGGGGGGCATTTGTTATAGTCCATGTAGCAGTGTGCGTTGTGTTTTGGAGGAGTGGATTTGGGGGGATTTCTTTGGCTGGCTATTTTCAAAATCGAGCTTCCTTTTGCTTTTCCAGGAATGCAAAAAAAAAGGAATGCCAATTATATCTTTAATGCATTTTAAATAGCCTCTACTTGAACATCCTTGCATTTTATAACCACCTTTTCAGATTGTTTTTTTTAAACGTTTGTTCTTGCTGATATATATTTAGTCACTTTTATATGAAGCAAATTGAGTTTCCTTTTGTGTATAAAATATCAATCAAATTTGATACTTTTAAATACTGTTAAGTATGGGAAGAAGAATCTGTGTGGAAACAAACATTATGAAATATATTATGATTTATATGATGAACTGGGACAAAAACTGCTGATAAAGAATTTATATTTCTATTTATAATTTACTAATACATCATGAAGGTGAACATGTAGCATGCCCTTTAAGCCATTACCTCACATGCTCTCCAGGCAAATCATAAATTATCACAAAATATAATGCATAGTAAGTAGTAGCATTTGATTTGGTTTTTAATTAGTTAATTTGTGACACTCACAGCATGAGAAATGAGGGGGAATTTTGAAGTTAGACAATTAAGCGTTCACATGTGGAAGAGGATACAGTAAAACTTACAGCGTCCTGTCTTTCAACCTCTTCAACCTGCCCAGTGACAAACTGAATTTATTATTCTACATCTGAGAGTAAGGTGGAGAGTTCACAGCTGTGTCATTACCAGCAGAGGAGCTGGGGGTTAGGCAGCACATGCTCCAGCCGACTGTAGTTGGTTATGCTGAAGGTTAGCACAGTGGGGGACGGGTTATTGGCAAAGTGCCGTGTGATTCCCGCTGGAAATGACAAAACCATCTCACCTATGATCTTCACAACACACCTGAGAGGAAGACGAAGAGGAGGAGGAGGAGGAGGAGGAGGAGGAGGAGGAGGAGGAGGAGGAGGAGGAGGAGGAGGAGGAGGAGGAGGAGGAGGAGGAGGAGGAGGAGGAGGAGGAGGAGGAGGAGGAGGAGGAGGAGGAGGAGGAGGAAGGGGTTAGAGAAAGATTGAGATCGACATGGTGGACAAACATACACAGTACAGTTTTCTCTGTTTTTCTTCATTGCCTTTCTTAATAAAAATGGACTTGGGTCAGCTTTAAGCTCTGATGTATTTCTCATAGAGTCATTTCTTTATGAAAGTTTGTGCCCCTTGAGACTCAATTACAGACTTAATGTTTTGAAACTCATGATTTACACAACCTATAAAATATTACAAAGCAAGAGCATAGCTGGAAAACTCAATCAAAGTGTATAGGCCATATTAACTATAATAAAGCAAAATGTCACTCAGTGCAACTGCATATTTAGTGCAACCCTGGAGCATTTATAAGCAACATAGAAAACATTCAATAAAGAATTAAGAGTATAAACACTATATGGTCACAACAAGAGGAAAGCAAGGTCTCAAGTGTTAATTGCTGTAGTCGATTTGTCAACAACTATGAAGTAACTCAGGTGAATCATCTGAATGTGATGCATAAATACAACATGAATAAAAAAATATCAGCTTCAAGAGAAATCTAGCAAGTGGACCTTGAATTAAAACTCTTCTACTGTTTTCTAGTTCAAGAATAAGTCTTTATGCTCAACATTTTCAATAGTGTTTTGAACACAAACATTTTAAAGCCACCTACATATAATCTGTACATCTGTTTAAGCATTATTTTAAAATGTTGTAAGGATTAATCATGTATTATTAATAATGACTGCAGCTATTGGTGACTCCTATTGTAATGACTCAGTGTGTGCAGTGTGGAGATATTTGTTGGCCTACTTGCTGGGATCAGCTCCTTTAAAGAAGGCGTTGACTGTCTCTGTGAATGCAGCAGCTACAGGAAGAGTGTCCTGAGCACCCATGGTGAGGGGACTGGGCCCTCTGGAGCAGCCTGGAGGTAACACATACACACATATACATACTCAAATTAATACACAGATTTCAGTACACTGAATGATACAAGACAGATTCATAACTAGTTATGCTTTTCTGTTTTTAATATTCAAAATCAGAGCTATGTGAAAATCAGAATATGCATAAAAGAAATTCACCATGAGCATAAAACACACAAGAATTAAAAACATGTTCCATGTTCCTGCTCCTAATTCAGGACTCTACACCTTTCTTAACCAACAATGTGTAGATGAAATGAGAAACAAAGATGGTGTGATGAAATGAAACTGTGAAACTATCAGAACAAACATTTGTGTTAGTAAGGTTGTATGAGGATACCCCTCACTCTCTGCTCTTTGACCGTGAAACTGTAGAACTAAACAGATCAATCAAATTTTCCCAGAAATGTTACAATTTTTCTAAAGCAGAATTGTTTTTAATAAGCGCAGGTGGATGAAACAAGAAAGACAGAAGTAGATGTATAAAAGACATGCGCCTTCCAGACATGCTGTTAAAGCTGAATTATCTGACAAGATCATAGAAGATCAAAGAGCCCAAAGATCAAACCAAAAACCATACAACCAATAGGAGAAAAGTGGTGACAGAGAGATTAGTTAAGTATACGAAGAATGACGATTTTTCAGGGAATGAGAGGTGATCGGTGCAGACTACAAGTGAATGAACAATGTCAGGAAGAAGAAGTAGAGGAAGATATGACAGCACTGCCTAAAGGTCCGCATATGAGGGGGCTCAGCCAGGAGCTAGCATGGTGTGGGTTAGGATGATGAACTAGGAGGGGGGAAGAGAGGAAAGACAGGGCAGGGCAGGGCAGGGCAGAGAAGGGCAGGGCAGGGGCAAAGCTTGCATAAATGAACCTCAGAAGAGTGTGGGTGTGCACACTACCCTGGTGCAGAGACAACTTACCTTCAAAGGTTAAATAAAACTTCCCTCTGTCAAACCATACAAGGGATGGCTGGTCATTCTCTGTGTGGGGTCAAGGGGTCAAGGATTGGAGGAGTGGGTGAGAAGTCAGGAGAAAAGGATGAGGAGGAGGGAGGAGGAAGAGGGATGAAAAGGAGGGAAGTGGGTGAGGAAAGGTGAGGAGGGGGGAGAGAAGGACAGCAGTGTGAGTCTCACATGTCTATCACACATCACAGTGAGGTGAAATGTGGAAGTGGTGGCTAGAGAGAGACGGAGGGGCCGAGACACCAGCTGGATGTGACAACATGGATGAGACAGGATGTTTGTTGTGGCTGTAGGAGCGCTTGAGGAAAGGCAAGAATCAGGTGGAGAGAAGGCCAGGTGTGTGTTACTCGATGCTGGTAGTGGTGTGACTCAATATTTATGTGAAATACTGGAGAGGAGAGGGGAAGTCAAGACTAAAGTGTCTGAGAGGGTCGGCCAGAGGAGAGCGTTTGATGGCTGCTGATTACAGGGCAGCAGTCAGTGTTTTTTCCAGAATGATCTTGCGGCAACTTAGGTGATACTATGGGTCCACCACAAAACATGGACAACTTTCTTCAACATTCATAATATGTGTAATTTTCTTAGACTTTTTCCCTCAGTGCTCACATTTTCTTTCAGGCCTCTACTTTTCAAATTATGAAGGCTGACTGCCATGTATCAAATAGCACTGGAGGGAGCAGTCATGAGACTAAGACCTGTGGTGCACAGAGATGCTGCATCCCAATTTCAAGGGCTGGATCCTCCAATGGACACAGACTACAAAAGTGGATCTTTCAGAACACCTGAAGTCCTCAAATGACACAGAGACCAAAATAAAGATCATTCAGACAGTCCTGGTTAGCTTTGGTTTGAAGTATACTACCAAAAAATTGCCCATAAATAAAAGCTAGACTGATATACTGCATTAGCCAGAAGGACAAATTAGCAAAACTTTGCTTATTACAGTTTAGTGTAAAGAGCAGTCTCAAATATATTGTCATCAGATTTAAACCGTCAAATATGTGTACTGGCACTGGCCTAAAAAAGCCAATATTAGTCAGGCTAAACTGCAAACAGCTGACAGCTATGGTAAACTTTGACAAGTTCCCAGTTTTAAAATACATGTTGGTACCTTTCACTTCAGAACATAATAAAAAATAGGGAACAAGTACAGCAAAGAGGGAATCTTAGGGGAAGAGTAGTGAGGACACATACAGTACAGTAGAGCAGAGGCCCTTTTTTGTACCAGGGACCAGTTTCATGCATGAAAATTTTTCACGGGGGTTGCAACAAGAAAGTATGTAATCTGAATGCAACAATTACACTTTATATTAGGCAATTACAATAATTCTACACTATAATATCAACTCACCATAATGCAGAGTCAGTGGAAGCCCTGGGCTTGTTTCCCTGCAACTAGATGGTCCCATCTGGGGGGTGATGGGAGACAGTGACACTCGAATTGTGTTCCGTATATCCAGTCTACTCTGTAACTAAGAATGATGCTTTCAGCGTAGACACATTTGTTGAAGTGGTGGCCCTCAATAACTGTTTTTGTCCTTCATGTTCATGTTTTTTTCTTTCAAAAAATTTCAAGGGCTTGTCTTTTAACGCAGGGTGTTTTGTCTCAATGTGGCGGAGCATTTTTGAGGGTTTCGTGGCTTCATTAGCTTGTCAGTCACCGCAAATTATGCATAGCGGGTGTGGAGATTGTGCATCACCTGTTGCGATGAACCTGCAACTTAGGTAGGAATCGTGGTATTTTCTTTTAAATGCAGCTTTCTTTTTGCTGGCAGTCTGTGACTCTTCTGCTGTGCCATCATTTGCTTGTTCCTTCCCGAAAAAGCTCTCCAGTGAATTTTGGTTTTGGTTAATTTTTTTTCAAGGGTTAGCTTGTGTGCTGATGCGTGAAATGGTGTGCCAGAGCCAAGTGTGGTAGTGAGGCGAGGGCGGAAACAGTCGTTTTTCAAAATAAGATCCGGAAGACCAATGAAAGAAAAATAACTATAACAATAACAATAATAATAATAAATAACAAATGATCCACGAGGACCGGGGGTTGGGAACCACGTGGCTACAGTTGTGTGCTTCTCTTTCTGTCCCTTTCTTGTCTGCTTCTCCACTCTAACTAAAAAAATAAATAAATAAATAAAATAAAACAATGATAAAAAAACATAAAAAAATGAATCAATAAAATGAATTTCCATATGTCTTTTATCTTTCAGTAGCAGCCTGTGATAAAAAAAAACATACAGTACTGCTGTAATGAATAAAAATAGCATTCACGTTAGCTTTCACCATTTACTGAACATCCTACAACGTCTTTATCATTTGGCTCATTTCAAGTGGTAGATTTAACAGTAACTGATGTTCACTTTTACAAAAATATGTGATAAATGTGTAAAGGTCACCTAATACTATATTTCCAGACCTTCTGAGTTACTAGGGATCGCCTGAGTGCTCAGTAAACTACCGACCACTGAACAATGAATTACAACATCTGAAGGATAACAGGTTATTAATATGACGAGAGAATCAAAAACATATGAATTCTACTTAAAATTATGCAATTTTCCCCTGCCTTCTACCAAATAATTTTTCTTCTGAAATACTAGATATTTGTAGTATTTCATGCCCTTAAAATATTTAAATCGAACTATTTGAAAAAGGAAAATGACTAAAGAGCTCATAATTAAGGACGTGGCCACTCTGAGTGACAGGCAGGAGGGTCCCACCATAGATGGCTGGCTGCTAACTGTCTATAGAGCTCCAATCACGCTCTGCCTTTTTGCCCATTTTTGGATTAGGCTGAGTAGGAGGTGTGAAGCTTTATCAATATGGCGACGGCCAGACTTGA